CTTCTTTCAGTCAACTCCCCCCCTGTGCAACTTTTAAATCAGGTAAATACGAAAATCGATGATTGATATTAAAATCGCGTGAATAAAAATCGAGATCTGAATTACGAAAATACGAGCTATCCAGCCGACGGATAAAAAATACGGAAAATCTTATTTTCTGTGCGTGAAATCGGAGAAAATAGCTAAAATAAGTAAAAATGCGGAAGGGTTAGCAGCTAGGGCATAGATTGAATTTTCTGTTTATCTTTGAAAATCGTAAATAAATATAATTATTTTACTTCAATGACTGAATTTTAAAAAAAAAAACGGGATATTTATAAATAAATAAAAATTAAAAAAAACGAAACTTTTAGAGAATCTGAGTTTTCGATAAAAAGGCTGAAATTCGAGAGACAAAAGCGAAAAAAATCTCATTCCTGTATAAAGGTCAATCAGTTTTATACCAAGGAAATGATTTTTATAGAAACTTCAGAGGAAGGAATGAGGACTTCAATAATTTCGCTCCGAGGAAAATTAAATTCCTCATAAAATATTTTAACTTGTGCAAAAAGAAATTTCAGCGGAAATTAGCGGGAAAAATGGAAAAATCTGAGAAAAAGCGGAAATCCGCGGAAGAATCTCATCCCTGCTTAATACAGTAGGGAACCGATTATCCGGAACAATCGGGACCATCGCTATTCCGGATAGCTGATCCTTCCGGTTTTCTGAATTGCTACAAAAAGCCGTTTTTTGTTTTATTGTTAAACCCAACTAAAAATCATATTTGGAAATAATCTTTAAAAAAAAGAAAAAACGATGAAGTAATACACTAATGATTATTTCTAAAATGATGGCAAGGTCAACATTTCAAAAAAAAAAAATAAAAATCTTATGAGGAAAAAAAAAATTTTTTTTTTAACGGCGGGAAAATTTATTGAATTTTGTTCCGGTTTTTTGGTTTTCCGACTTCTGGATAACGGGTTCTGTACTGTAATAGATATTCTGAAAATTGCAGTAGATATATTATTAATTAGATCACCAAGAATATAGAAATAAAATATTTAAAGTACAAATAAAAATATTCTGAGTTTTCAGGAAAAAAATTGTTTTTGATGGTTAAATATAAATAATCGTGAAAATAATAACTTACCATTTTGAGTCAATTTTGTAGAGCAAACTAGTGAACTAATATAAAAACTATCTTTAGGGGTTAGAGTCAATCCATTTGATGTTATAACATTGTTATTATTTTTAGTTGGAGTGGGTGGGCAGTTTGCAGATATATATTTTTCAAGCTCCTGGCGAGTTGAAGGTAACTTCAAATAACTTATATCTAAATCATCAAATCGTTTGTAATCAATCTGAAAAGAAAAATGATAATTTGGTATTTGACATAAACAAAATAAATTTTGCATACTTATATAACTTTGCAATACCTTATAAACAAGAAGTTCATGTGTTTCATCTTTCAGTGTAGTACCATTTTCTTGCATAAGTTTTACAAATGCTACCGCAAAAGCTTTTTCAGCCCTATCTTTTGCTAGAAAAAAAAATGCAAAAAATAAACCTTTTATTAATTATCAAATGAAATTTAAAATAAACAGGCTTTAAAACAGACATGTGATTGCTGGAAAAAGAAATTATTTGAAGTTTTTTTTCTCAATTTTCTTTTTTAATTTTCCTTCTGTGCTTAATTTTTTTAAATCTTTTTCTTTAAACATAAAAATAAATAAAAGAGTCATTTTTATGCACAAAAGTAACATTCATAAAATGTAAAGAAAGTTGGAAAGTTTTTTTTTTATTAAATCAGGGCAGGCGGAAGTGGAGAGCAAGGCAGATGATCGCTGGAAGGGTCGAATAAGACCTGGAATTATTCGTTCCCTTCTTTTTCTTAAAAAAAATATTGAGCCATGGTGGATATGGGGATAAAGCACTCCCCTCCCAATGACATGTGCCCAGGCTCTAACCCCAGCATTAGTTGGTCAATACGAAATCTTCGCCTGGCTTGCAACTACCACAGTTTTTGATCTGAACTCTCGGGGCAAAAGGAAAAGAGGCAGACCTAAAAATACTTGGTGCAGGACGATTGTAAACGAATTGAAAACAATAGGAAAGTCATGGAGAGAGGCAAAATATCTGACCACAAATAGAGTGAGATAGAGAGCTATGATAGAAACCGTATGATCCAATTCGGAGTGAAGAGGAATATGTATGTATGTGTAAAGAAAAATAATAAATAATTATTTAAAAAAAAATTTTGTGGGGAATTATCTTTGTATAAATGAATTTTAGTAGTTTGTTAAAAGAATTTCAATTCTCTTAAAAGGATCTCGAAATAAAGCGAAATATGCATGAAGTAAAATGAACATTAAGGGGTGGAACCTTTTGACTGCTCTCTTGGCTAAATTATTGTAGATTGAAGTTATTTTATGGGTAAGGAATCATAATCCTTCGCAAAAAAGTATGTTTACTCAGAGAAAATACGGTCTTGTGTATGACTTTGTAACTTAAAATATTGTCTACACTAACTAACTAGCATATTTAAAGTCACTCTCTCGAATCATTAGGAGATCTAGATTATTAGATCAAAAGATATTCAAGGTCTTAAGTTTTTCCCCTTGTTTCTTTTTAATGAGTACTCATAAACTTGATACTTGTAACCTGTAAACTTGATTCATGATACTTGTAAACCTGTGTCTCAAATGTAGCTTTAATCTAATGTGAATTTGCTGATACAGTAGGGAACCGATTATTCGGAACGATCGGGACCATCGCTATTCCGGATAACTGATTTTTCCGGTTTTCTGGATCGCTACAAAAAGCCGTTTTTTTATCGTCAAACTCAACTAAAAAAAATATATTTGGAAATAATCTTAAAAAGAAGAAAAAACGATGAAGTAATACACTAATGATTATTTCCAAAATGATGGTAAGGTAAACATCTTTCAAAAAAGAAAGAAAAATCCTAAAATCTTATGAGGAAAAAAATTTTTTTTTAAAAAAATGGCGGGAAAATGTATTGAATTTCGTTCCGGTTTTTTGGTTTTCCGGTTTTCTGATTTCCGGATAACGGGTTCTGTACTGTATAAATCTTAATATTCTTTTATAGAAAATACTCCGGACAGGAGCAAATAGATGTGATCACAGAACAGGAACAAGTAGATGTAAGCCATATTTCTTTTATTCTTTTGTAATTCCTCTTGATAGGTTTATTCTCTTTTAGATAAGTTTCATTACATCAATAATGCTTTCTTTTTTTTCTTTTTTGAGTCAGACCTAGTTTATTTTTGTGTTTGATCTAGCATAACCACTAATATCTGCTCAGCACTATTAATTTCTTCATCTCCTTTTCTTCCTCTGCGGTTGACAGAAGTTAAGTGACACAGCAATATTTTTTAAAAAGAAACACTTAATTATTACCACAACTGAGCAGCTTTACATTTTAAAAATTCTGATAATTAAAAAATTATTAAATTTATCAAACAGATAAATTTAATGTACACTAAACAATTCATTAAAATAATTAGTATTATTTTAGCGAATTGCTTAAGTTAATTTTCTTACTTTTGCATTAAGTTTAAATTTTAACTGGAAAACTCTTCTGTCAACATGAACCCGCTGAGTTCGAATTTAAACTGTTACTATCTCTTTTGGTATAAAACCCTTAGACTTAAAGACACATCAGCAACTTATTCTTCCTTAATCAAAGTGTCATCAAACTTCATAATTTTTAAAAAATGTTAAGTTTGCTTTAAAATGACAGATTTTCCAAATACAATTAAAAGAACATAGAATGGATTTGGCAGGGTCAACACTTCAAACAAATATTTAAATAACATATCATTATTACATAAAAAGAATAATTTAAAATCATATACAGCTTGAAATGCTACCTTTTTTTTTTTTTTTTTTTTTTNTTTTTTTTTTTTTTTTGAAAAAGCATAGAAGTTTTTTCTAATTTACACTTAACAAAGAATCAAGAAATAAATTAGTTTTCACATTATATTTCAAATGTTTTAACAAAAAATGATTTGCAATGCTAAGACAAACTGGCACTAACATTTTTAGAGCACATATCAATGCAAAGAATACTTCCTTAAAAAGTGAGACTTATAATATTTTCATAAGTTAACTCACCATCATTTGATGAACGATGTTTAAAGGTGAACTTCAAATGAGCATTGTAAAATTCTTCAATGGGTATAGCAATCTATAAATAAATCCATATAAATAAGATCACAAATGCATATCACTAAAAATAAAAATGATATACAAAAGCATATCACTAAAAATAAAAAATGATATACAAAAGCATATCCCTTAAATTAGTTAACTTTAATGAAACAATTATCATAATACAATTACCATCAATTACATAGTTAAATCACTCAATTTAAACTCTACTAATTATAATAATTAGAAAAACATTATCTTCACAGGTATTTGAATGACATGCATAAAAATTTATTGAGATTAAATTGCCCCTAATATAACCACTATTATCATACTATTTATCATCAATATATTCACATGCGGACTATTTTTCTAACTGCTGCATTATTTATTTAAATATGTTTCAATTTTTAAATCTTTATACTTTTGTGAAACTTTAAAAAAATCAACATCCTAGACTTTTGTGTACTTTAAAAAAATCAACATCCTAGAATTTTCTTAATTTTGCTTAAATCATGGTTAAAATTTAATTGCTTTAATAAAAATAAGTAAAGCAAAAATTATTGATTATAATTAAAGATATATGGTATTACTTAAGAATAAAAATTATGACTCTTTGAAAGTTTGGAGAGAAAGTTAAGGCATTTTTAGAAAACCTTGAAACTTTTTTTCTAAATTCTAGATCTTTTTAATGTTGTTGGGAATCCTGTATTTGCAACAATAATGAGTATTTTTAATAATAATGTGTATAATATTAAACATTGAAGTTATTTTATAAACTTCTCTTTTTACATACTTTGATAGTTTCCATCCATTTTGGTTTATCTTCGTGATAATAAATAACACTTCTATATTCGTTCATCGGATCAGACCCAGTGCCTAGACTTATAACATCCTAAACAGATTAAAAAAAATCTTATATATTAACTTGAACAAATTTTAAATTTGTAGTTCATAATTGTTTTTTAAATGTTTCAAATCACACATTTGGCTGATTTGGAATATGTCAATAAATTTTAAAAATCACACATTTGGTAATCTGCTTTTATATGATGCAATGTACTTTGATTAATTCAACTTATATTTATAAACCCAGCACTTGATTAATAGTTTTGTATATATTGTAACATGAATCTGGATAGTTAAAATTCGTAAAAATTATTGAATCAATTATTTCCTTTGAAAACTAGCTTTTTCAATCTTTTTAAACATTAAAAAATATATTAAAAAAATGAACAATTCATACACTGATTATGAAATAAAATATTTTTAACATAAATTGCTAATGAGTAGCAATGAATATATAAATATGAAAGAAAAATATGTCAGGATGTATGTCAAATTCTATCAGTTTATGTCACCAAAATTATTGAAAAACAGCTGTGATCAGAATCTTAAGTCTTATATCTTAAAATTTGTGTTCTGCTTCAAACTAGCAAAACTATTTATAAAGACTCTTATGCCTTAACATCAATCAAATGAGACTTAATTAAACCTAAAGAATTCATAATGAAAAGAGTTTCAGTATTAAATAACACTAACTGGAATAACTTGTCCTTTTTCATTCAATGCTTTGACAGACACTTCTATATTTCTGTCAGATGATTTGGTTCCTTTTGTAAATTCACCATGTGATATGGATAGATATAAATCATTACGAACATCTCCTAAAAAGTAAAATAGATTAATAGTTATATTAAAAAAATAGAAAACAGCAATTGCAAACCAATTCATTAAGAAAAATTAAATACAGATTGAACCATAAATTAGAATTATCTCATAAATAAAATTTTAATCCTCAATACATAGTTACCAACTCTTAGGATTTTCCCTGAAGATTTTATTTTGATACTTAAATCAGTAGAGAAATATAAGCCTTCAAATTGCAATTTGAATTTAATAAATCTAATTTGAAATGATTTTTTTCAACCTCGTATCTGCACACAATGAAAAATAAGCTAAATGCAAACTTCAGCAGCTATGATAATATGACTAATTATTGCAAAAAATTATTTATTTTTTTTTCATTACCTGATTCAAAAAGCCCCCATCTTCCAGATATTTTAATAGTGTCATCCCCAAGGCAGCAAAAATAAGAATAATAAAAATATGAAGTAGAAAGCAGAACATTTCAGCTTTATTAAAAAATGGAAAGTGGTATAAAGGCTTTATCCATCGCGGTAGGAACCGCTACAAAAGCATTTTACTTTATATTTATATTGCAGTAGCGAACCATTTATCTGGTATCCAAAAAACCGTTAAATATTTTGTACAGTTTTCCTGCTATTTTGAACTAGATCGATTATGAAAAAGAGAGGAAATATGACTCATACTTGAAGTTAAGAAGAGGAAAATGTGGGGAAGGGAGTAATTTTTCTCACCGTATGCCCAGAGAAACTTCATTTCTTCCCTGACCTTGAAGATCTTTAGATAGAGAGGGGGCAGGGAAGAGACATCCGGGATAACGACGGTCCCGAGCATCCGAATAATTGGTTCTCTACTGTATATATATACATACATATATATAAGTTATTGTCCTTTTACTCTGTTTCATATATCTATATATATATATAGATAGATAGATAGATAGATATAGATATAAAACATAATAAAGCGACAACAAACAGAAAAAAAAAAAGAAATTTAGAAAGAAAAATTAAATTTATATATATATATATATTAAAAGGTTAAAAAAAAATTTAAAAATTCAAAAATTTAAAAAATAAGAAAATATTTAAGTTCATCATTAGCTCACAAGATTATGCCTTAAAAAAGAGCTTTCTAATATTGTATTAATATAACCAAAGCAAAATACATCAATACAATAGTGTGAGAAGCACAAAACCTGAAACGAAAATACAACTTATTAAACAAAAAATGTTTTTTAAAAAAAAGTAAAAAATGCCCAATAAAAAAAATGACGCAAAAATAGAAAATAAAAAAAATCAAGAAAATACAGAATAAAACACAAAATGTAATATATAAAGTGAGTAACGAATTGAAATGTACTTACATTCACCGGCATCTTTCAAAAATGATTTAAAATTTTTCGTAATAAGTTTGTCAGAATACAAAATATGAAAATAGAAGTGTAAATGGAGGATGATGCAATCAATTTACGGCACATTCTTACTGAAGTATAGAAGTACGTTTGATTTGCCAGTTTTAAATACAAACCTTTTTAATCATTTTTGAAAAATAACTATAAATGTAAAGTACATTTGACTTTGCTACTCACTTTATATACTAAATTTTGTGTTTTATTCTGCATTTTTTTTTTATTTCCTATTTTTTGCTTAATTGTTCTATTTTGTATTTTTAACTTTATTTTACATTTTTTGCAAAATAAGTTTTATTTTCCTTTCAGTTTTTGGTGCTCCTCACACAATTCTATTGATATATTTTGCTTTGACAATATTAATACAATATTAGAAAGCAGATTTTTTCAGACATAATCGTGTAAGCTGATAACGATATTATATCTTTTTCTTATTTCCTTTTATTGATTTTTTTTTTTACATTTTTACATATTTTTAAATGTTTTTTTCTCCTTTACAAACAGATTAAAAGACAGAGACAGTTAAAAATACAGAGAAAACAGGGGGAAAATTATATGAAGATTAATGAAAAGAGAAGAAGAAAAATTATTAAAATAAAATATTATTTAAATATTTAAAAAAGTTTTATTAAGAAGCAAGAAAATAAAACAATGAAAAGATATAATCTTGTCATCAGCTCACACAATTATCTCCGCAAAAATGTGCTTTCTAATATTGTATTAATATAGCCCAAGCTAAATATATCAATACAATAGGGTAAGAAACACCCAAAAAATTTAAACGAAAATAGAACATATTCAGTAAAAATATATGAAATAAAACAAATCAAACAATGGCAGAAAATAACATGCTAGAAAAATACTGAATAAAAAACAAAAGATGTGGACAAGATTATATCTTTTTATTATTTTATTTCCCAGCTTCTTAATTTTCATTTATAAATTTTTTTTTAATTATATTATTTTAATAATTTTTCTTCAGGAACATTTCAAAGCCAAAAGTATCAATCAATTTTTATACTATCAGTGTGCGCCCCCCCCCAAAAAAAATTTTTTTTTCCAAATTAATAATGCAAAACCCAGGCCTAAAAGATTCACATTCATTTCTTCAATTTTAATAAAATACATGATAAAGCTACTTTTGAATCTCTAATAGATAAAATGTCTTAAAGTGGGGAATGAATTTAAATTTGCAAGAAAATGTAGCATATTTGTTTCCCTCACATCACTTGGTTTAATAGCAAAAAAAAAACAAATACAATTCATAATGATTAAAATTTTAGCATTACTAAAATTAAATTAATTGTAATGCATTAATTGTAATACATAACTTAGAAAAATGAAGAAATGTGTAAATCTTGAATAAGAAAAAGATTGTACCAGGTAAGATAATATCCGGGAAACCCATTTTACGAGCTATGGCAGTAGATGGACTTATAAGATGAGGATTTTCCTCTTTAACTTGCTTCAGATCACCATGTAACAGCTTCATACAAATCCACAATCCTTGACCCTTATGTTCCTTTTGCGACAACTCTTTAGAAGATAATGCTTTTCTCAACAAATTATCAAGAAAATCTCTTTCGCTGCACCTGAAATGTCGAAAATTGTACAACTAAATCTAAGACTAACAATCCCAAAAACACTGAATCAAAAAATACATTTGAAATTTAAAAACTTCTTTTGCTTCACAGTTGAAACGGAAGAAATATAGACAAGCTTTAACAGCTTAAACATGATTTTCCTCATTAGAATCACAACATGTGATTGATGAAAAGTTTTGCCACCTTCAATCAGCAACCCTCCTTTCCATCCTTCAGGTTACAAGGATCACCTTCAGATTACACTGACATCCTTCAGCAGAAACAAATGAAACATTTTAGCTATATCTATATATAGTATAGCTATATATATATATAGTCCATAATGCCTCTTCCTAAGTGTCATGTTTAAGCACTCAATACATATGGACCTTCTTTCATTTCCACCATCAAAGAAGTTTTTCATTTGCAAGTAATCAATTATAAATTAAAATTTTAAGACCTTCAAACACAAAATTAGGAAACAAATTTTAATTAGTTTACTTTAATTGCTACATTTAGACATTTAATAATTAAAATCCTATCTTTTAATGATATTTGTAGATTAACATTTTACAGTCCTATGTCAGACACAGCACCACATATAACCATATTATTAATTTGCTGCGTGAAACTTTGTTTTTAAGTGATTTATTTTGGTTTTGCTTCAAAAATATTTCCATCAAGTGAAAAATCATTCTTTTAAAAAATGTCTCTAAATGGGTTAAAGTAAGAACAAAATATGAAAACCATAAATATTCCAATGCATATATTAAAATATACAGTTAATAAAATATAAATTAATTGTAAGAGGACACACTCATTTACAATTCATTTTTTATTATATTGCTACTATTTATGACAAATTAAAAATTACTGTAAGGATAACTTTAAGGCACTGTTGGAAACATTTGCAGACACTGAGCATAAATGTCTATAATAAACATAGTTCTTGTTTTGTTTTTTTTTCTTTTTCTTTTTTTTCTTTCTTTTTTTTAATATATGGTTTTATTAATATTGCAGACAAAAAACATTTGACAGTGCAATATTTTTTTAACTGCAAAATGTTTCGTTAAAAAACATTATTTTAAATCAATAAAATTTTAAAGATATAATAAGTATCCATAAACAAAGCAAAAAAAAGCTTTTAGTAGGGGAAAGTGGGATAAGATCGGTTAGCTAAGATGTCAAGACTTGTTAGAGCTAAACTGTTTGACCTAGAAACTGTCGAATTTAATTACGGTATTCATTGTTTAGTTGAGTTCGATACATCATTTCTGTAAAGTCATAAATGTACTACAATTTGAATAAATAATGTTTTTCTAAAAAAATTCTACAAATTACCCTCATGTGGGGTAAGTGCAGGGAGCAAATGTTATATCTATGTGAAATTCAGTGAAAAAGTAGTAGACATTTTTGGTTTTACACAACAGTTTAAGAATATTACGCATGTAATTTACATATGATATAATCAAAGCTCAAGCCTCTGGACTGCTGAGAGCCTCGAAATTCTTTACAAAACATTTAGTGTTTATAAATTTTTTTTTAATTGCAGGGAATTTTTTTATAGTTAAAAAAAAAGATATAATTTTTCATTTAAGCCTTCAAAAATTCTAAAAAATATTAAGTTTTTTTTCGTGTGAGTGTGTGTTTTGAGAAAGAAGATGTAATGAAATAGATAGTTATATTTTTATTTGTCTTTTATGCCATTTTGACATAAATAATTAATAGAAATTATCATTTTAAATTTTTTCTTTATATTTTGCATATTTTTAAATGTATCTTTGATACAAAAAATTACTATTTTTATAACATTGTCAGGCAAAATCATAGTTAACTAATATTATTGTTTTTTTATGATTAAGCAGTTAAAAGTAAATAATTAAAAGTAGTGTGCTCATTATAATGTATTTTGATTAAAAAACTTAGCTCTTACTTTTTTTTCCTCCTATGCCAGACCAAGGCATGTCCACCATTTGTCTATAACCGACAGCCCAATACAGTTTAAAAACACAAATAAAATTATTAAAATTCTTAGCAGCATTTACACAAAAGGTAACCCTCCTAACAGTTAATCTTTGAACAAGTTTTCAGAGCCCGGACAATATACTAGACATATCAACCCAAATATCTCCTCTAAGACTAGTACCCGGCTTTACGTATTTCAAAATAAAACAGAACAGTACTACTATTGGAATCAATCCTTATTGCTTGTTGGGGCATGAATCTTTAGTAAATGTATAAGTTGTATTAATCATAATTTTTATAACTTTGATGACCAACAGATAAGGCTAGTTCAAAATTAAAAGAGCATTAGAGAGTTGACATATGAAAACAAATCTATCAATACAATTAACAACAGTACAATATGGTAGATCTTTCTTTTCGATTAGTAAAATGTAATTCAGAGTTTGTCAGATAGAAAACAAACTAATTTCAACAGAATCAATTTCATAACCAATCAAGTACCCAGTCCCATCCCAGTAACAGATATTACCCCATTCATGAAATGAAAACCATATAACAAAAAATATCTTACTGAATGAAAGGAATAAAATATTGTTTTTCTTCATCACTCTCTAGTTTTCCATTAATGATGTCTGTGATTTCCATGGCTAGAAAATAGAAAAATAGACTCATTTTACAGTCTTTTCTTGCTTCTATATATATTTAAAAAAAATAATAACTTGTAAGAAAATAAATTTATTAACCTGCAACACCAAAAGGCCTCCTCAGACCATCAGATGATTTGCGTTGAATATGTGTTGATCTTTTATGTTCGTGATTTTTAAATTCCATAGCACCTAGAAGACAAATCTCTACTCAAACAATTAAATTTATAATCAGAACTATCGACACAAAGGATATTTAAAATTAACAACACAGAAACTATATAACAGCCATCCATAATAAACTATTTTCTTTGGCTGAAATTAAATAATGCTCTTTAAATAATATAAGCCATTTCAAAAAGACATGCTTAAAGAGTAAACAATAATATGAAAGGAACTAAAATATAAATATACAAAAAATTTACCTACTATAGCTTACAAAGGATTTTAGTCACAGCAGGAAAAGAAAATAGAAGGATAGTTTCCTGCTACATTTTATAGACTTTGCTACATTTATAGGTCAGATACATTTTGCATTAAAAAAAATGAATAGAAATTCATTTCAGATATACATTCTAAACACGCTGACCATAAAACTGTTTCTATTTAGTTAACTACATAAACTAAATAAACCCAATACTAACTTGTCAAAGTTCAAATAGAAGTACTGCAAATTTTTTCAAAAAGAAGTTTCAAAATTGCAAGAAAAAATAATTAAATCAAACTAATAAAAATCAAATTAAGCTTACAAAAATTATTAAAATTATAATTGAAGGTTTCATTTTTCTTTACATAGTTATTTTCTAATTTTTTTTCAAAGGAAGAAAAGTAAATGTTAATACAAAGGTAGAATATAGATGCAATTTAAAGAAACATTATCAGACTAAAAGCACATGAAATAAAAAACGACATAAAATTAAAAAAAAATTAAACTTAGTTATAAAAAAAATTATTCACTCAGTGCACTAAAAACCATACACAATTAATAAAAATAAAGACTAAGAGGGAAGAATGGTTTATGTTTATGTTTCACAAAAATGAAGTTCTGATCGCCATCTGGGACATTTTGATGATTACTAAGTTCTGACAAATCAATAATGTGGAAAATAGATTCTCCTAAAAGTTATTACTCAGTGAAAATGGGTCATGCTGGAGAAAAATGGTTCTTGTGCAAACTTTCGTGTGCCTGAGGTTATCTAAATTGAAGATTGTACAGAATAATACAATGGACATGTTATCTGGTTATTATCCAAAAAACTACCCATTTCTTACTCAGCTAATAAAGATACATAAGGAGAGTAGAGATAAACCCAAGATATCCTGTAATACAACTTTTTACAGTTGAAAACTACAAAAAATATTGCAAAAAACTGCCCTATCTGTCAAAAAAAACAATATTAATAAGCATAGGTAACATTGAAGAGAATCATCCACACAAAAAAATGTTACCACACTGTCTCCATAAAGGCTACTAATCATCTGAATCATGAGAATTTTATGAAAACCTCTGTATTTTGAATGTACCTTAGAAGAAAATATGAGGAAACAAAAAATTAATAAAAGAGTATAGTGAGTACCATAAAAATACTAATAATACCTAGACAGAGGACGAAATTTTAGGAAAAATTGGTTTTTCTCCCAACTTGATTTTAAAAAAGAAAATTCTACATCAAAAGCTGTAAATTTTGGTTTTAAACTTTTGGGAGAAGTAAATAAATGCTTGTGACATTCATGCATAGTTTCAGTTTTTTGATTTCAAGTGTATGCTAGGTTTTGAAAAGTCTCAAACCTGAAGGAAAAAAAATATTCTTTCTGAAAAATCAGCTTTTATAGACTTAAACTGTTCTTCCCCTTAATACTTCATACATAAGATGTGAATTTGGATTACCAATGCGAATGATTTGACACACAAGAAAAAGTTTTTCTCTGACTAGATCTTTGCTTCCCAAATCCTAGAAAAAAATATTTTTATATGCAGATTAAACTGAACAAAAATGTTTATCTAAATAATTAAAATTTAAAACAATAGAAATTTGTAAATTAATAAGGAACTAAAACTAAAGCAAACAAAGAGTTCAATATTTTAGCCTGCATTGTAAAAGTATAATGTAGAAATAAATGTTGATATAACATTTTTGTGAAAATAAACAAAAAATAAACTAGTTCTTTTGATGAAAAAATCGAATTTTTAAAATTTGGAATTTGATAGCTTCTTTAAAATATAGGATCAAAAATTCTTTCAAATACAAAATGTGGCGACATTGTGGCAGAATGTCACAGAGTTCTTGTATAAAGATTTTTAATTTGGGAAACTAAAACTTTTGGTATTCTTTTCTGTAGAATTGTTTTTAAAAGTTTATACCAAAGAAAGAAGAAATGCTTTTGATCCTCTTTAACCATTAAACTATTGGTTACTCGCTTGAAAGGGAGAAATGCTACCCGCTCTGTGAAGACAGGTTTTCATTGCTACATTAATAACAGTCTTAAAATTAGGTTTTATATTAGGCAGTTGACTTTACAAATCTGCTACAGCTTTTTGTCTAGTAATTTTTGTGTATGCATAAATCAAAATGAATAAAATCTACTGAATAATGGTTTTTCAAAAAGAACTTTTATAAACAGTTAGAATGGTCATCTGTAAAAATAATTCTTCGTTCTTAAATTAGGTTGTTTTAAGTTCAGTGTAGATGCAATCATTTTTAAATGTATATCCCTTCAATGATTTATTCAATATATTGTTATTGGAAAAAATATTCTTCAAAATTTGCTATTTCTTTTTTATTGCTGTTTTACTTAAATAATTTCATAAAAAAAACTATGTATTAAATAAATAGTCTATTATTGATTGGATGCAAACCTATAACATAAATCATTACTGTGATCAAAAGTCCTCACTAATGGAGCCTCTGTGACTTTTCCACAGAACCCTAGGGGTCGGCAGAACACCATTTCGGTACAGCTGCCATAGGGATCATAATAGTCATAAAATTAGTCCCATGATTCACTAGACTAATGATATTTGCAGTTGTTATATTTTTAGTAGGGATACACACAGTATACTCATTAAGAAGCTGTTAAAGGAAAGGCAACACATGATCATCTGGAGGGTTAAAATAAACTTATTAGTTCATGACAGTGGTCACCTTAGTGAACTTTCCCAATTTATAAGCAAAAGACCTATAAAACATTACAGCTTTGCAGAAGTTATTAAGTGACGCTTTCTGTGATTTCTTTAGAGGCAACTGGACCAATATTTTTTCCAGGTAAGATTATGTTACCAATTGCTATCGATCACATTGATATTCAAAAATGAACATAATTGCTTACTATTTTTAGCAGCATAAAGAATGCAAAAAAAAAAGTTGTTCAATTATAATAATATAAAAACAAAATAGAATAAAAATAAAATAGAATAAAGAATATAAAAATAAAATAAATTCCTTACCGTAAATAAAACTCTTAAATTATTCAATTGTTCCAAATCTTTGGCTAAACCTTCTTTGCTCCATTTTAACAAATAATTTTCACTGAAAATACATATAACTGTCATTGAATAAAACACAAATATACAATTGTTCAGTTTTATAGAAATTCAACTTTTTTAAGGATTAAAACACAATGTTAAATGCATAAAATACAAACAAAATAAATTAATAAAAGATTTTAGAGCCTGACATTGATTTTCTTACTTTATATTTTCTAATAAATAAATAAATAAAATCAAAAATGCATGTTACTTTTACAATTCACAACTTTTTTAACAAATTACTTTTTTTCTCTTCTATATTTATTTTAACTTAACTGATTTTTTTCATTAAAAAAAAACCTGTATTTCGTCTAAGGTTTTAAAATAATTGTATATTTAAAAAGAAAAAAAAAAGAATTTAATTTTTCTTTCAATATTTAAAAATGTCAAAATAACAAATAGATCATTCTCAAATTGTGAAATTAAATGAGTCATAAGGAAACAAAATACAATAAATAGATTACTTGAACTTGGAAAATCAATTAAAGTAACCCAGAACCTAATACCAGATAAATTATTTTAATGATAAATTTTGTATTTTAATGTAAGGTACATCACTTTCAAAAGACATGAGAGATTTTGATGGTGAAAGAAGTTTCTTATACCAGTCTTTTGAAAGTGATGAGCTCAACATTTTCTTTTTTAGTTTGATAAAAATGGAATAGGTTTTTCTTTTCTTCTTTTTTAGTGCACAAAAAAAATTCTTTCTAAAAATTTTATTATTTTCAGCTTAGTTATCTGTCGCTTAGTTTGCTTATAAAAAATCCTCAAAATTTAAATTAATGATAAAAAAAGCAAAAAAAAATTTTGTTACCATCATTGAAGAAAAAATAGTAACTTACATTGGCATCAAGCATAGAGTTTTAATTAAAATTTGATTGATTTAGATATTCAAATAGTGATCAAAAATTCAACTAATGTTACATTCTATTTGGCAATAAAACTCTAATTAAAATGCTTGATTTGTCATCAAACATAAAACTCTAGTTAAAATGTTATCACCTTTTTAGCAGGTCAAACAATTATGCTCACAGTCAGGAAATACTTGAAACTTGCATTGCAATTAATCGCAGAAGTGCAGTTTAAATTTGGTCACTTTCGTTAGTTTAAAAATAATTCAAAGTTCTAGACAACAATTTCTATTTAGCGATAATATGATAATAAATTCTGTTTATAGCTGTCAGTAAATAATTTAACTTCTATTGTTAAAAAGCACAGACATACAATTGACAATGAATTCTATTTGGCAATAAAATCACAATGCACTCTGCTAGCATTGATTGTGAAGTAAATAAAACTTGGTCATTAGTCAAGGAGCTCCGATAAAATTTAAGCACTTTAACTTATCAGAAAATGATTGAAATTTTGATTGTAAGACACCATTGTCAAAAACACAAATAGGAGTTTTAAAAAAAAGTTGTGAAAAATACTAGTGTTAGCAGACTAAATCAAATTAAATCTTTCAAAATTAAACATTTATCTTAGAAAAAACTATGAATAAAAATAATAATTCCAATATAGTTATTTATTTGAAATAAGAGAGATAGTAAACCTTATATATTTTCCTTCTTTAGCATCATAAAGAGTAAGCAGCAAATCAGCATCGTCACCAACTTGACAGACAAAATTTTTAACTGTTACATAAAAGCTGTGAACAAATCTTAAAGAAGACTTCTGGATTTTGTTTTCTTCTTCAAAAGACTAAAACAAAATCTAAAATTAAAATTCTCATTTCCACTAAATTAAAAAGTCTTAAAAAATTCAAACAATACAATAATTATTATTAGAATATTTCAAATAAAAGTATAAAATTTGCATTGGTTTCTTGTTTAAATTTTGCAATCAGAATAACTTTCAGATTAAGGGGGAACAACACAATAAAAAAAGGAAAAAATTACTTTTTTTGATAGTTTATTCTTTTAAAATAATTGTACAAAAATATTGAACTGTTGCAATGGGTTATTGACAGTTTTGGAACAATTAGAAATAAATGTATTGGCCTAGCAGTCAAAGACTATGCTCAAAACAAAGATGATTGCAAACTACTCTAAAAACATATGAGGCATCATATGAGGGTTGATCAAGAAGAAAAATGGCTACTACAACTCGTAGACTAACACTTGAGACTATTGAAGATGATAAAGAAGCATCTTATGGACATTTTATTGATGCATTATAGTTAGTTGCAGCATTTTTTATATTTTTTTAAGATTATTGATCATAAAATTTTAAACACAATTTACTCAAAATGATGTTTCTCGTACTGTATTTCTAACTAGTTCACTGTTCAACTGATTTACTTCAAATTTTGACACAATGTTGGCAATATATACCGTTTTCCTCTTAAGAGCCTCTTAACTGTTTTGCCTTGAATGCTTAGGTTTGCCTCAAAAGTAAGGTGATCTGCAAAACAAGGAAAGCGGTTCAACCAGTTCTATTGTGTAACAAGCTCTACTTAGTGCATGTTTAAGAAAGGGAAAATTTCTTAGCATGGTTTGGAACTGGCTTTTATTTACATTTAGAGCAAAGTAGAGGACTTCATGAAAAAAAAATTTATGTTTAGGCTTTAAGCTTAGTTAACAATTAACTTAGCTAAGTCACAAAATAAAAAATTGATTAGTAGTTTATTGTCCAACAAATAATCAATAAACAGCTCTTTGAACAAATATTTCAAAGCATTTTTTTAGCTCTAAAGTAAACAAACCTACAACATTTGCAAAAAGGAAAAAATACAAATGAAAATTACCAATTTTTCATACAAATGCCTATTAATTCTTTTTCGTTATCACGTTCAGAGTAATAATCAGGGAAGTAAAGTGGGATAACAACAGTAAGTTTTTAAAACAAAATCAGTAAATTTGGTATGTTCACTAACATTCTTTCCAGTTTGCTTAATCTTTTGAGCTGCAGATATAAGAGCAACTACAATAATTCAAATAAATAGCACTCATAAATAGATTAAATCCTTTTTTGCACAAAGACTTTCATTTATTATTTTAATTTTTTATACTAGAATAATTAATAAAATTCTTAAAGATGTTCTTACACAAAAATACACATTTACAAAACATTTTGGAACATTTTATATAATTACTTAATTAAACTTATATAATTATTTAACTTAACTTATTAATATAACTATAACTTATTATTTTAATTACTAGAGGGCTCCGCCCCCTGCTCGCTGACGCTCGCCAACCCCCTGAGAATTGCTTCGCAAAACCAAGAATGCTTTGATTTCATATATTTCAATATTAAACTGAATATTAACTGTTATCATCGAAAAGAANTAATTATTATTATTAATATAATTATTATTATAATAACTTATTATTACAATTACTTAACTTATTAATATAATTACTTAATTAAAATTATATAATTTTATATATTATAATTACATTATTTCCAGTTGACTTTATTCGTTGAGTAGCAGATTCGTGAGCTCTGTACAAATCAATAGCACTTGTAACATCTGGATTTAAAATATTTCCATGTTCATCTCGAACAATAAGATCTAACCCAAGAATTCTATAAAATAAAAACACATTTTTAAAATTTAAGAAATAATAAATTTTTACATGTTTAAAAATTCTCCTTACATTAGCTTCTATAAAACACGAGACAACAATTTTTATATTCAATTATAAGATCTTATTTAATTGTTTGAAAACTAATATTCATTTATGACCCTTTTAACTATCTAATTTGTATCTTATTAAAAAAAAAAATCTGTATGCAGATTTAATGTGTTAGAAAATAAATTTCAAAGGAATTCTCACATTAAAATCAATTAAACAATGAGATACAAATTAAAATATGTTAAAGGAAAAGTCAAATAACTGAATTCTCTCAGAAAGTATAAATGCAAAAAAACTGCATGAAATAGCAAGCCAAATATTGCAAAATCTATAAATAAAAAATTTAAGAAATTTTTTTTAAATACTTACGCATTGCCATAATCAATTTTAGCAGTAGATTTTTGTTTTAATTCCTTTAATTCGTCCTGAAAAATAAGATTTTCTTCTAATAACTTGTAACACAAATATAATAACATTTTGTACAATTAGAATGACACAATTGATGATATTAATGAACCAGGGATTACAAGTCCTTGCAACAGGTTGAAAAAAAACACAGTTAAAACCATCACAACAAAAATAGGATTTTGCTATTTTATGCAGGCAAATATGAAAAAAAAAACTTATTTATTTGGGCCACATAAATAGCAAAATCTTTTTTTTTTCTTAATGAATAATCATTATTTCAAATTAGATTAAGTGTTAAGTGCAAATTTATAAATTTAATAATTCAAAATAACCACATAATTAAAAATTATTAGTAGCATACTGATTTATATATAGTAAAATCCATAATTGTAAATAATACAATATCAAACAAATTTAATTAATAAATAATTTAAAATATAAGTATACATTTTGCAATAAAATAATTCAAAAACCCAATAAAATAAAAATCTTAAAATTAAATTTTTATGCTTTTAATAGTTTGAAGGTACAAATTCAAAACCATTTTTTCAATATAGTTTTTTTTTTGTAGTAACAATGTTTCCAACCAAATAAGAGTTTGAAAGTGTTATTTATTACTAGTTAAGCATTCTCTATTATTACCTAAAAAAAAAAACTTACTTACAAAATCCTCTTCAAAACTATGTTTTCATAAGCAATCATAAAATAAAATGCTACATTTTTTGGCATTCTTTATCTATTTTCACTCAACAGTTTAATTTTTTTTGTAGAAATACAAATCAACAGCAAAATAATGTCCATCAGTTCCAACCCCCTTTTCTTGAAAATCAAGTAACAAAAAAAAACTACAAATCATTTCTTGTTTCAAGACCAGCTTGAACCAAAATAACTCTCAAATTAACTTAAAAACTTAAATGTTTTCTGATAAATTGTAAAATTTCTAAAATTGGACTGTGATCATTGATATCATTTATTCACAATTAGAATTTAAATTATGGCTCTTAATTAGCTTAAAATAAAAAACTTTATAAACATAATTAGTAGTTCAACCAATCAATTACACCTGCAAATGAAAATCTGATGTAAAGAATGTTTATTTGATTCAAACAAAAAAAAAATAATAAATAAAAAAATAACTATTTGACAAAATGAAATGTGATAAATGGCAATTATCCATGTACATATATATATTAGTCACAGCAAAATTCAATTTAAATAAAATTGGCAGCTTTGACACATCAAGAGTATAGTAATCTAATTAGACTTTATGATAGTTTTCAATTTTGAATTTCATATTCATTTTTCCTGAATTGTTTACCGATTATAGATTCAAAATTCTTTAACAAGACCAACTTCACATGCAAGGCGACAACATTGTTACAGGGCTCTAGTAAAAAGACTTTTCTTTTGAGAAATAAAAAAATTTGTTTTTCTTTTCTTTATACATTTCAGAAGGATTTTATTTTTCTGAAGAATTATATTCAAAAGATGCCTTTCTCATGCATCTGAGGGTATAGAAAGTCTCGTGTTTTTTCTGTTCTAATTTATGAATAAAATATATATTAGTAACATATCTGTCATTATTAAAAGTATCATGCAGAAAGACATTAGTGTTAGAGAGTTTTGTCACAGACAGACCAAAAAAATTCTGCCACAGGGCAAATACAGTTAGAACTTAACTCTTAAAATAAAACAAAACATCAATTTAATAAGTGATTTAGAGTTACCTAGTTGTAGTACTTACAATAGAAATATTTTTATGGAAAATGGGATATGGAAACAAACAAAATTCTTTAATACAACAATTATAAATATCAGAGAAATCAATTATTCTTGTAAATGTTTATAAGAACAAAAACTTGGCAAATAAATATATGTGCTGCATGATATATGATTTGCTTTGAAATCAAGCTAAAATAAAATACTAATTTAAATCACATTTAAGAAGTTAAAACACTAACCACAGGTAGTGTGCCAGACATGATCTTTCTTCGCCATTCAATTAATTCATACATCATAATTCGAATAACCTCAAAGTCAGGATCCCGCAGCTGCATAGTAAAAAGAAATTAATTTGATGCGAGAAAATAATAAATAATTGAATCAATATAAGCATTTGCTTCTAAATTACCACATAAAGTTGTGTCCAAATACTGCCCCATTCACGTAGTACAGCGGTAATTTCTTGAATGATTGGAGGCTCTCTAGGAATAATTGCTTCATGTGGCCTAAATATTTCACAGAAAATGACACAAGTTAAAAATTATAAATTTATTTACTGCGGTTATTGAAATTCTTTGCAAATAGTTGCACGAATCTCGTGAATTTGAAACAACTTTAAAAAGTTTTTGGGAAATAGAATCGAATGACTTTGAACAAACTTTAAATAATGAAAAAGTGAAGTGAGAAACTCACTTCTTAAACATACAATAAGGAATAAATGCTCATTACACTGTAAAAATACCTTTAAAGACTGGTGTTACACTAGCATATAAGTGTTACATTGGCATATAAACACACATTAGTATATAAGTGTATAGATTCATTATGGAAAAAAATTACTGAAAAGCCATAATTTCAAGGTCTATATATAGATTTCATGCAAGCATATAGATCTTTAGATCACATGGTCAAAATTTTGGAAAATAGTCTTCCTGATTATTGTTACTAATTTCACTTAGCAAGGGGTTTTATCACAATAATTAGAATCTCAAGTTTCATTTCTAGATTTCTTAACAATTGCAAAGCAAGTAAAGAATTTAACAACCGTGAACAAGTAAAGAATTTAGAAGGGATAAACAAACAGTTGTACTTTGTGAATAGCAATCTAGGTATAAAAGGGATTAAGAAGACCTAAAAAGAGATAAACCTCTGTAAAGTAAGAGTGTAAAAAAATCATTAACTACTTTTATTAATGATGTCAACATCCTCAGAGTTAAAGATTACACAATTATGGTATAAAACATCACAATTATGGTATAAAACATCAAAAAATATAAAACATCAAAACCAATAAAATTACTTATTTTTGAAAAATTAACATAAAAAATTATATCATTTTAGACCAGAAACCGTTTAATATTATGTCAAGCATATATTATGGATAATCAAAGAAAAAAATTTAGCCAGAAAAGTTATTCCCAGTTGTGTTAATTGCATAAAAAACAAACCACTTTTATTTTATAACTATTGTCTGGACAGCCAAACGAATTTTCAGTTTACGACTACCTATGTTCGACTCCATTTCCTTGTAATTTTGAACCCAATCCAGAAGACAATGGAACTCCTGTATCAAGTATTATAATAAATTTGACTTAGTGGAGGACATTTTGATGGAACAAACCCACATTTGTGTTGCATTGAGAGGAAAACCGCAAAATCCCCCCACAGTTAGTCTCGTAGCAAGGGGACTTTAGACCATAACCAGCTTACCACTAAGGATATTTTACGTCAGTACTGAGCCGGGTGGGGAATTCGAATCAACCAGGGATTGGCAGAGATTCGAATTTGGTTCACCTAATTGGGGGGGGGGAGTGCTCTATACCCTGAGCCACCAAGGCTCAAAATAAACCAACTGTAGTTGAGCAATTAACGGGAAATCTCCTTTCTGAAAGAGTATTAATTAATCCTCTTTTTACTAACACAGATGGAAACTTTTAAGGTCCATTTCCTATAAATATCAATATTAGAGAAAGGAAAAGCATCATAAAACTTATGTCGTATTTTTGTTTATCATGTACACCAATGTCCTTCACTTGCCAATGATTTGTAATTTTACAATGGAACTTCTCATTTCTTCACAAAAAAATTTTTTCGCTAGATGTGGTTAAGTGTTACTTTTTGTTTTCAGGCAACACCACTAACTTTTTTGGCGCTTAAGCAAAATCAAAAGAACTTCATAAACTTTTGACTGTTCCCAACCATCAAAACAATTTTGGCAGCAAACGGAATTTATTGGGAATTCAAACTTCATGGATCTCCCGATTTTACGGGATACTCTGCGAGGCTGGTGTTAAATCATTTAAAAAGGGCAACTGGTAATGCAAATTTAAATTATGAATATGCAAAATATTCACGTCTTCGTGAATATAATAGATTTTTTCATTTCTTCATATACTAAAAATTTGAGGGGTATTACTTTTACTTTTAAACAGTATTTTATGTTATTTCTAAATAAATATTTGCATGCTGATCAAAAATTTAACATGAACCTGATCAGAGAATATAATTTTTGAGTCTAGAACTGAAACGTTGCCACTAAAATAGATACCACGAATCCGGTGCCACGTTAAATAAATACATGCAGATAAATTTTATTGTGAATAAGATCTCAAAATTAACAATGTATGGGAATAATTTTTTTTTTAACACACAAAGATACTTTTCTAATAACAATAAATTATATTATTCAAACCTCTTACAGCTCTAAAATTTACCAGCCACAGAATACTATAAAGCACTTGGTAACAAAAAATTGCTCCAATATTTACTTCAAAATTCCACTGCTAGGGAATTTTCGTCTATTTTTTTTAATTTCTTGACTTACCCCGTTTTATCAATTATGGATTCCTTAACAGAGACGTAGGATTTTGGGAATATACCCCAAATATTCTTATTCTTTGTTGAGCAACCATAAAACCAATCTAAAAAATAATAAACATAATATTTTTGAACTAAAACATTTTTGTAGCTGACATTTTATAATGCTTTTTTTTAAAAAATACACAGGATATTACTATATACCTACACCTTTTGACAGATACTATGCATAATAATATCACAAAAATCACAAAAAATTTGCGAAATCGAAGAAATTTTTTTAACATGTCTCATTTTTTAAAAAAATGGTCAGAATTCCTATATATACTACTGCTGTTAGTTTTAGAAAATTTGAATACAACAGAAAATTTGGTAAGTCAGTAACTAGTTTCATCTTTAGAAGTCTGCCAAATTTAACGAAATATATGATGGCATATATAATAATCAATATAAAATTTAATGATAACTAAAACACTTTTCAAAAAATCAGTGACTTTCAAATAAATTTTGTCAAAACTAGGTGGCAGTGAAAAGGATGAAACTAGTATAAAGATAAAGTACAAGAATAAAGTAAGAAACTAGTTAAAAGTTTTTAATTTTATCCAAGTCTGCTCTTGATATCAAATTTTAAGGCTATGATGCTAAATGTTTTTTTTCCCTTTACAATCAAAAAAATGTAAACAAATACACTTTGTGACTCGCTTAAATGTGGCTATAGGCAATACTTTTTCAGATTGCTCAATTCTCCTTTCAACTGTGCCACTACCTGGTTGGTACCAAAACTTAACAATTATTTTAGCAACAGAATTGATGTGTAAATCTTCCTGCAAGCCAGCCAAAATACATATTTTCTTTAATTTACAAGTCAAACAACAGGGCAAATTCATCTGGCGTCCTGTCAATTTCAGTTGGGGTGAACTTGTACAGATATAGAAATATTCCCAAAGCACAACATTAAAAAAAACGGAAATAAGAAAATTTAAATTTAAAAACAAGTTTTAAAATTTGTTTTACGGGTTGTATTTTCAGGGATTTCCAATCAGGATATACACACACAATACACATATATATATACACACACAAGGGATATTTTCATATCATGATCTGTCGCCAACTACAATTGCCAAGGTACCAATTAATTTTAAACTTGAAAACTTTATTTAAAAAAACAAGTGGATGTTTGCTTAGGGATGTCTACGACTTATGCCTTTCAAGTCGATCCCTTTCTATGATGTTTAAGTTTCTCGCAGGCCGCTACCAGAAGTTGCCAAGAATTTGCGATTATTCAGCCAAAGATCACAACATGGAAATCTCCCACATATATGTTTGGATACATACATATAGGATGCTTCCATCTCGTTATCTGTTGGGTTAACTACAATCGGAAAGGCGCCAAATGGATTTCAAACATACAACTTTATTTAAAAATAAGCATGTAGAGGTTTGTATTAGGGGGAAATTTCCGTATTGTGATCTGTAGCAGAATAATAGCGAAGTCGTGGAAACTTCAGGGCAGTGACCCGTGAGAAACTTAAAAAAAACATCACAGTAAGGGACCAACTCGAAAGATTGGGCAACCCTTGGGCATACATCTACATGCTTTGTTTTTAAATTTGCAAGTTTAATATCTATTTGGCACCATGGCGATTGTAGTTGGTGCTACAGATCACGATACGGAAATATGCGTTGTATATATTAGGTGACAACGAATTACAACCTTCGAGTTGGTCCCTTTCTGCGATATTTATTTTTAAGTTAATCTCAGGCCGCTTTCCAAGATTCGGCGCTTATTCTGCAGCGAAATTTCTCCCCTTCCAAACTTTTTTCATTTTGTTTTTGAGATTCACATCGAAAATTTACAATGTACACATTTTTCTCATTTTAAACAGTATTAAGGTAGTTAACATAAAATATTATTTACCAGAATTTTCCTGCAAAATATAAACGGTTTCACCCACCAACAAGTGAAGTCTATGAGTTCCATTTTGCTGAAAGTTGCATACAGCTTAAAAGAAATAAAGGAAAAATATATCATTAAAAACCATTATCATATTAAAATAAGGTAAACAAACTTTTAGCTTTAAGTTTCCAGCTTACCGACTCCATACTTCGCACGATCTTTTACATATGTCCACTTAGACATTGTTACAAGCTTATAAACTAGAGGTATAACCCATTATAATTAAATATTTAATTAAAAATTAATAAATAGTTTAATATATTGTGTAAACTGCACACTTCCGACACAAAAAAAAATCGAATTCCTATATCAAAACAAAGAAAGTTGCCAAAACATAATCTCTTAATTTACTTTAAAGTTTTAAGATCCTAGAACTAGGTTACCGAGTGCCTAACTGTAACATCTTGCGAAATCGGTTCCACAAACTGTCACTGTGTTCGTGACTAAGAAAAATAAATAAACGCAAATTTCACGAATATTGACATGGTCCAAGTCCATAACTTTGCAAGAGAAAACAGATTGTCCTTGTAAATTTCTGATTCGAATAATAATTTGAAGGAAATGATCTCTAATTTGATGGATCGTAGTCAAACATATCATCTACCTCGTTTGATTTTCTGTTAATTCGCTGAATCATCTTTGAAAATGTATTTGTGTAAAATAGGGTAGAAATTTCTTATCGTTTACGTCAGTTCTCTACCAGAAATATTTGATAACTCATATGTGAGTCAGTTGTTGCTTTGGCTGAATATAGCAAAAGTTCAATCGTAAGAATTAAATGGCCAGATGTATAATAATAAAACGCTATAACGAAGCGCAGAATGAAGGTATAGTTTAGATATTCCTTTTTAGTAGTTTTATTCGTCTGATCAATTATTAAAAATAAAACAAATCTCATGCAGAGTTACTCAATAGATTTACAATTTCCACTATTTTTCAAATCAAACCATAGTACCTACATATAGTAGAAATTAAGGTTTCTTTAATAGATTATTTAGGTGTAAAATAGAAATTTAGAAAAATATTTCATAAAAGGTTGAGTTTTTCTAATATAAAGCTTACATTTTTAAATCTGTTCGTATATAATAAACTCCTTACCAAAAGCCTAAGTGTATATACAGTTAATATAATGCAATATTTGTCATTAGATATTTTAAACTGCCATGTGTGTGTGAAAATTATTATTGCTACTCAGCTGTTCTGCAAAAAATTGAAACCTGCCGCCATATTTCAGGAATTTTTTTAAAACAATCATCTTTAACAGGTCAATACCATCATTTAATTGTTTTGGCGAAATTCCTTCTGCTGAACTTCTTGAATAAAATTCATCATTTGTAGATGTTAAGCCACTAACACAGAGGTAAATAGCCACTAACACAGAGGCAAATGGGCCATGAACTTCATTCAACCTTGTCTTTGTTCTCTTTCTCTGTTCAACCTTTTACATGAAAGTGTTGGTTAAAAAAATAAAAAAAAAGCCGTATGAAATTAATTTCTTTCCATCTTTTTATATTAACTATAGTTTTTTTAGTCGAATGACCATGATATTGAACTCTCCGAGCAAGAGTAAAGCTAGAACTTAATAACAGTTTAGTGAGGAATGATGCTTCATAAAAAGTATGATCTTCATCTTTCAAATTTTCTAAGTATTTATTGAATGACCTAGTATTAAAAAATTATTGGTTTAATATTAATCATGGTGATTTAAAACTGAAATTAATTCTCTGAACTGAACATTCTTCCTGAGTTTTTTATATTGTTATGCTGGTAAAGCTTTCCTCTTGCAGTAAAAAATTGGTTTTCCCTATGCTGATCAATAAGAAAGTAGTGTGTAGCTAGGAAATTTATATATACAGCTTTGCCTATAAACTCACTTTGATGGTTAACATTTTAACAAGTAAATTGTTGCTCTATTATGAACTATTTTGTTCTTTTTAGGTTTGCTGAACTTCTGGCTGAAATCTTAAATTCAATGTTTTCCCTGTCGTCCAAAATTATACTTATTAGTTTTACTCCTATTTTTGCCTGAAAAAATAGGTAAATGTTTACCATGGAGGCAGCTGTTGGTGTTATCATGAGGGTGCCTGGTCTTTTTATAATAGACTATTGGTGGCAACATGATAGATCAAAGTCATTTCCTCATTCTGTCGAACTTGGCCAAATTTTGGACTGTGTTATCATCAATTTGGGTAATTTTTTTTTGTATTGTTTACATTTTTAAAATTTGTTTAATATTAATATAAGGCTAGAATATAGACAATGTCAAACTTTATCTATATGGAGGTAGGTATCCTAAGATAGAATCAATTTATCACGTCTTATATATTAGTAAATTGAAATTGTATTATTGTTGTGATAATTACGCTACATTACTCCCCCGCCAGAATTTTATCTGTGATAGAATTCAATGAATGGATATCACTAGTTGATTCCTTGCCATTCTTGAAAAAACCAGAAGGGTTGTGTTAAGTTCACCGGATTTTGAGCTCTGGTTGGGAGAGTTGTATTAAGTTCACAGTTGTGTATATCGTCACTTGTGTGTTTCTAATTGCAGTCAAATGTATACAGGCCAAAGTTTTGTGTAATCTAGAGTGAGGAGCAACAGAGTATTGATGACAATGTCGCAGTCACAAATAGCAAGTCAACTGTTCAATGTGGACGATCTATCAAAGTAGGCGTGTTTAGATCATTTAAGGGTCACCAATGTGGGGCTAGAATACCGACAATGTCAAACTTCATGTATCCAAAAGTACCCCAAAATTGAATCGAATGAACACATCTTATATAATGAATTTGAATTTTATCTTAGCAGTGGTAGGTACACTGCAATAATCTATGTATATAAAAGTGAATGTCTGTGTGTGTGTCTTTTATAGACTCTTAAACCATTTAACCGAAATTGATGAAATTTTGCATACAGGGTGATTCCACACTATTTGTAGCCTGGTATGCTTAAAAAAAATTTTCCAATAAATTTAATAAACCACATATAAAATTAAAGGTCATTAAATGTATTTTATGAATATTAAATTAGTTTTTTTTGAAATAATGATGCAAATTCTTTAAATTGCATAAAATGTGAAAAAATTGGGTCAAAAAGTTGCGGACATGACGGAGAGGAAAAAAATAAAATTACAGTTGCAGCATTTAATATTTTTAATTAAACATGATATTTTAACAGATATATTGGATTTGCATAATGAATGACTGTGAAAACGTTATTCTTAATTTCAGTATTTAAATATAGGGTACTTGTAATAGAACAATTTTGCTTTTTAATGATTTTTTTGAAAAGTTTTATTAAAACAAAGTAGTTAAAAGATTTATTTTCTTAAAAATTGGATTTCTTTCGACTATTTGCAGTGTTGCATTATTGTAATTTTTAAAAAATTATAATTTTTTTTACTTAATATTTTTTAAAGAATTTTCAAATTGGTCATGTCCGCAACGTTGCAGACATGACAAGTTGCAAAATACAATTTTGATTACTTTTATTTAGCATTTAAGCTTGAAATTCCTATCACAAACTATAAAACTTATAAAATTTGCTTTGTTGCCATTTATTTTCTTAATCACCAATTACACTGACCAATTACTTTGCTTAAAACATGTCTAAATTCTACATTTATCAAAAAATATATATTTTTTAAATTTAAACATTTGAATTATGGCAACATTTTTATTTGCTCTAAATTATGTTAGTAATAATGGCAACAAAACAGTTAATAGAATATTAATTAGAATAGAACATAGTTTAAAATAGAACATTATTTTCAAAATTATTTAGTTTTAGCACTTGTTTATATGCAGATGCTTTCTATTAAATTAAATTTTTCTATTAAGTTTTTAAAGGATTTAATTTTTACTAGCTGATTTATTTGATTATTATATAATTAATTAAAATTTATGAAACTTGAAATAGATTATAGAATTCTAAACTAAGTTGGTAAAACTATAAAATTTCTAATGCTATTAACAAGTGCAGAAAGGTCCAGACTGAGAAGACCAAAATTGAAAGATGAAGACAGAATTGACTATTATTCGAAAAACAAGGAGTGATAAATTACCAGCGGAAACTGAAATAAAAGTAAAACAATTTTTTGTTTGAGATGACAGCCGTATGTGCCCTGGAAAAAAAGAAGTGATATCCATAAAGACACCTAAAGGAAGAGAAATACATCAAAAGCGTTATTTACTGATGAGCATTCGAGAAGCGTATGAGTTATTTTTGAAAGAAAATTCTGATTTAAATATTGGGAAAACTTAATTTCATGAGCTTCGTCATAAGTATGTTCTTCCACCTGGAAAGAAAGACCAAGAAGTTTGTATGTATATATATCACGAAAACATTTCTATGATTCTTTCAGGAATCGGAGCTCTCTGTCCTGATCTTCTGAAAAAATCGGAAACAATTGCAAAAGAAAGTGTGTTTAATTTTGATGATTAACATATCGACTGCATAGACAGGTCCTGTCAAGATTGCAGTGTCGAAAAATATTTAGATGAAAAAATATGAGAACAAAAAATTAGACAACATCGTCAAATTTCATCAGTGGCAACAAAATGAACAAGGTTTCACAGTTAAAAAAGAAATCGTTACTGATTTAGGTAGTGGAAAAGAAGAAATAGGATATCAGCTGCAATAATTTGCAATACACATCTATAATGTTTACAAACAACATTTTGAATTTCGTCATTTAAAAGAAAATCTTTCAGATAATGAAATCATAATGCATATTGACTTTACTGAGAACTATACGGTAAAACACGATCGAGAAATCAAGAGTGTACACTTGTGTAACATATTTCAAGGATGATAGAAATAATTCTTAAAACCATCAGTCCTGTGCCATTATCTCTGATGACCATTCACACAATAAAGATAGCTTGCAAGTTTTTAATAAAAAAATTTATCTCATCTAATGGAACAAAAAAAAGTACATTACTGGTTTGATGGAGCTGCCAGTCAATTCAAAAATCGATTTATGTTTGCAAATGTGACTAGTCACAAAGAAGATTTCAACATTGATGCCGACTGATCAATCTTCGAAACAGCTCATGGGAAAGGTGCCGTTGATGGAATAAGTGGCACTATCAAAAATGTAGTTTGGAGAGCTGTATTGCAAGGCAGAGAAGTTGCCGCTGACGCAAAATCGTTTTTTGAAGTGGCTTGTAAAATTTCAGGTGGGAATATAAAAATTATGTATGTAGGCAAAGATACTGTCGATCATGAGGCATCAATGTTGAAAGACCGTTATAGTCTCTGCAAATCGATCTCAAATACGAGATTATTGCACTTCATCTCACCTATAACACTTAATTCAGTTGAATTTTCTTTAAATTCTCCTTTCTCTAGTCCCTCAATTATGCACCTAGCTCAAATATTTACTAAACTGCCTTCAAATCTTGCCATAGCTTCACAACAACAAGCTTTAACACCAGTTACAGTTTTAGAAGAAGGCCCGTGGATAGCCATATTGTTTGATAACTATTGGTGGCCAGGCGAAATAATTTCTACAAGCAAGAAAACTATTACACTTAAATACCACTTCAAACCCGTAGCTATAAACAAGTTTAATTATTTGGAAAAAACCGCAATTTGAAACAATTTCAATCGACTTATACTTATGCCCTTTGCCATGCGATCCTTCACCTGATCATTCTGCACAGTTTTTTTCATACAATTCAGAACTAGCTTTAAAGATAAATAATATAATAAATAAATTGTAATGTGATTCTTTAGACATCTTTTAACTAAATTCTTAACTAATTAATTTTATAATAAATTTTTTTTTTATAAAGTTCAAAAATTTAAAATATTAAAAGAAAAATTATTTAACAATCCTGATTCACTCAATATTTTATTTAACAAAAGAAATATATAATATTCCAATGATATATGACATTATCAAGAAGGTTATTTATAATGAAAAACTTTCTGTCATGTCCGCAACGTACATATTGTTTTTAATTTCGTAATTTGCAATTAAATTAATTTTATGTCTTCAAAATTCTTGTAATTTCTTTTATATAAATATACATTGAAATGTTACCTAAAAAAAAGTTGTAATTTATTTCATAAAATTCAGAGATTTTGGTAAATGTAGAAAAACATTCTAAAAACCATCTTTTTCTGCGTCATGTCCGCAACGCTTCAAATTTTTATTTTAAAGCTGTTTAAATTCATTTTTATTTTTAAATATGCATTGGGTTAATAGATCACATGTCTCCTGAATTTTATGAGACAGATACCAGTTACCTAGCTCAATTTATTTAATTATGAGTAATTAAACTTTGTAAATGTCATGTCCGCAACATGCACAATACTGTGGAATCACCCTACAGATAGTTTGAAGCAAGGTCACTGTCAATATTAGAACATTCTACAACGAACCATTCGAGCGGGATGAGAGCAAAACGAAAAAGAATTTTCTGATTGGTTAAGCGTTAACCATTGTTTTAAATTTAACTGTAGGCGATTCAATTTTTCACATATTCATAAGATAACACCGTGTTTTTTTTTGTCTTTTTTTAATTTTAATAATTTTTTTAAGCTCAATTCTAATAAATTAATTATTCAAAAACAAAAGTCATTGAAAAAAAAATTATTTATATATTCATTCATATATGTTGGTTTCTTATGTATTAATTGAAATAAGAAAATAACTTATGTTCTAAAAAGCAAAGTTAATGGGAAATTAATTTTGAAAAACAGTAGAAAATCGCCATTTACAGATGACGAGTAATTACTGTCTACTACTGACAATAATATGTACAGCTGGTATTATGGTAATTGGTGTAGATTTGATAAGAATTCTACAACTGGTTTTCGGTAGTTTCAGAAAATATTTTTTCAGTTATAGCAAAGATAGTGTATTAATAATTTAATACATTAAAATGAAAAGAACTTTGTTCCACCACTAGTTATAGTAAATTAAAGGTCAGATAGAGAAATGGTCATGCTCCAAAATTCTTATCAAGTTCTTAAAAGAATTCTTTCTTTTTTTAAGTAAAAAAAACTCAAAAATTTTCTTTCGTTTGCTGGCAAATGTATTTTTCCCAAAACTGAAATGTTCAAGGATTATGTAATAAGTACCAAATATACTAATATAGGTGTAAAATATTATATTGATATATTTGATGACTATTAAAACAGTACCAAGGCTAAGCAGTTTTAACATCAATACTTTAGCAGTAAGAGTTTAATGGTGCCTCAAAAGGAATATGTACTGGAGAAGATTGCATCGTAAATTTTTGCCATCATGAGTTGGCCGTGATTAAAAACATCATACTATAATAGCATATCTAAATACATTTTGTCTTTATTCTAATGGGATGAATTACAAAAAAACGAATATTGCTTACTTCAATAACGTAAACCCACCGAAAAGGGCAGCAGATAATATTAAATAAAAAAATTTAAATTTTTTTAGCTGTATTAATTGAAAAGCTTCGTGGAAAAACCTGAACTAGGGGAGAGGCATTTTCAGAATGAAAAAAAGTTCTATCCAAACTATTTTATTACTAATTTATTAGAAGCCGGGATTAATAATTCTTTGCTTTATTTCATTTATCACTGCCTAATTTAAAATAAAAGTCATGTAAGCATACTAAAAACTGATGTAGATTAGTAACATTAACGTTAAAGTGATGACAAAAACAGTTTTGCTACATTAAACATACCTATATTGATGCACCACTTTTTGTTTTTTTTCTCTGAATCATTAATTTTTCTAAAAAAGATCTTTTTCTGTATTCATGGTTAACAGTTTCTGATTTTCTATTTCAACCTTCATTTGCAAATAAGCTGAGCTGAAGTCAACTTTAGAAAATACCCTATCACTAACTTATGCAAAAATATCTTCAGTTCAAGAGTGTGGGTATTTTTATACTTTTATTTATAGTAATCAGCACATAGTCTGATAGATCTGTTTTGTTTTACAATCAGAATTATGGGTGTGGTCCAATTTGTTACCCTTTGACAGAAATTAAATGCCATGATGTACCCAGCCTATGTACTTATTTTAGTTCCATGCATGCATATGAAAAAGCTGTTTATAAATTATTCGTATGATAAAGAAAATAATAAGAATCCTAAAGTAAAATGCCTATGCCTATTGAATATATAAATTTAAAAAAATATGAATGATTATTTTTTTTTTTTGTTGAGAAAACGACTTTAAGATTAGTTAAACTAATGTGCATACACCACCTAATCATAGCCCAGCACCTAGCCCCTTTTCTAGAGCTCTATCTTTTAACGGCCATGGTAGAAAGGCCACATAATTTTAACCTTGGCCAGATTAGATGGACAGCTCTCCAAACTTCTACACTACGACCAATGAGAGGACTTTCCTGGCAGATTTAAAGGGCAACCTTTCTGCGTAAACATGCTGATCATTTTGTGCACTCCAAGATCGAACTCACATCCCCCAGCTTCCCAACCAGCCATGTGAACAAGATCTTCACTGACTGTTTCAGTGGAGCACTTCTTTATGTGTACTTTTAAAGTTGAAATTTTTATTCTTAAAAAACAAAATTTATCTTTTATTTAGATGTATATCAAATAAATAAATCAAATTTAATATTTTTCATCCCTTTTTACGTGTCTTAAAAGATTTAAGAACTCTCCAATCAAGAAACTGGTCATTGAAACAATCAATGGCTGAGAGACTGATTAAAAAATAATTTTTTTATCAACACTAGAAAAGATTGTTTCTATTTCTAATAAATAAACAGCAAGTGACACAGTGGGAAATTAATGCATATCAGTTAAAATGATTAAAAAAAACTGCCTCATTATAGACTGATTATTATAGTTATTTTCTTCTCAAGAAAAACACAGAATTATCTAAAAGTAATTCAGAAATATGAATGAGTTTCCTGATGATAGGTAAACCAGCCAATCTGGGTAACTAATCAACTCCTTCAATCCTGCAATGCTTTCTCATTAGAAATATGCTCTCTCATGCTTTCATTGCATCAGACAGGCCTTTAACTTTGGCAAGTTTCTCTCATATCCAAACAGTTGTCGTAAATCAAATGCTGGAAGTTAAAATAATCAAAACTTCAAACAATAAATTTATTTTATTTACAAATATTAAATGAATAAGCCAGAACTACTGACAGATTTCTGCTTAATTGATATAATGATTTATTATTATGAAAATTTCTTGATTTTATAAATTTAAAATAACCAAACAAAAATTTTGGCTTTCTATTAGTTTTACGGGTATACTAAATAAGAAATGCAGGTTTTGAAATCATAGGTAGACCAAGCAAAAAACAAAGAAATCAAGTAAGATACCTTTCTTCTAGAACCTCTTATCCTAGTTAAGCTCATGCTTGAGTTTCTTTATAGTTTTAAATAAGATATCAGATTATGCATTAAAATTATTTTCCAGTTAATATCAACTTTCTTTGGTACATATTTTCTGTTCTACCTATAAATTTGCTTTTGTTTTTGCTCATTTTAAAGCTTCCAATTTTAATAAATAAAAATAAATTTTTATTAATCCAAGATATTTCTTACTATCTTTGAAACATTGCTTTTATTTTGCAGTTCTTTTACATGGGTTTCTTTTGTTGCTGCTGCCTTTGAGACATGTTCAAGCATTATATTCCCATTTCGTTAGTGGTGTGATAATAATAAGTTGCCATGCTGTATCCAGTGTATACATTGAAACTGAAAGCAACAGGATTGAAAACAAGGAAGAGGATCCATACTTTTTAAGGAGACAATTGGTGACAATAGGATTTCATTGTTTTATGGGTGGATTAATTGCATACTTGTTGAAAGGCCCAAGGCTCTTTATTCCACCAATAGTTCTTGTGTATGCTCTTCCAGTTATTGCATGTCTTGGAAACTTGCCAATAAATACTCTTCCTTTCTTCCATAATTTTGGTACTGCTGTAACTGGATTTAATGTCTTTCTGTATATAACGTACCAAATTCCAACCATTGTTGATTGTGCCAAACTAGCTTATTTAGATGCAGTTACAGTGACAGAAACCTTTGGACTTGGTAGATTATTCATTATTTTGTGGAATAAACTGTTTGTACCTACTCATTTTGCGCTATTTTGGCTGATCGAATTTTTTGTAAAGCTTATTGGTACAATGTACCAAATGGACAGGATGGCTTGGAGTAATGAATGGTATCTAATAATACTAACTACCATTAGTTCAATTTGTGCCAGTCCAGTCACACTTGTTGCCACTTCTGTGAGTGTATCATATTTATCTTTCTTTATATTGTGTTCAACCAGGGCATACCTCCAAGGATACTCCGCCTTTTTCCATGATAATCCAATGCACAGTGGCTGGACTGAAGGCCTAACTCTAATGCTGCTTTCTTTTCAAACTGGATTAATAGAAATGAAAATGCGTGCAAGAATGGCTGTCTTGACAATAATATTGTTTATTGTTCTCTCTTCTTTACTTCAATCAATGCTAGAAATTGCCGAACCTGTTGTGTTGGGCCTCAGTGCTTCCCGAAGCCGTAGCCTTTGGCGCCATTTTCGAGCACTTAGTTTGTGTTTTGCTCTTTTAATTTTCCCCCTTTATCTCACTAAGGTTCTATCGGCAGTATTTCCGATTGATTTCTGGATGATGGTTGTTTTATCCAGTTGCACTTTAACTTCTGTACAAGTGCTTGATTTACTTGTTGTACATTCTCTGTTTCTTTATGATTCTGCAAGATATGAACCATGGGAAAATTTAGATGATATAGTTTACTACACACGTGCAGTAACCAAAGTACTTGAGTTTTTTGTTGCAATATTTGTTGTGGGTATGGGTCTTTGGGAATCCACCTCCGGAAAATGGAATTGGATTAATGCTTCCATCTTGCTCATTCATTGTTATTTTAATGTTTGGCAACGCCTTCAGACTGGATGGAAAAGCTTTTTGCTGAGAAGAGAAGCTTCCAAGAAGGCAAAATCTTTACCGTCTGCTACAAGTGAACAACTTACTCTTCTTGATGATGTCTGTTCCATTTGTTTTGGAATTATGACTGCTGCCTGTGTTACTCCTTGTCAGCATTATTTTCACAGGACATGCTTAAGAAAATGGCTTTATGTCCAAGATAAATGCCCACTTTGCCACAGTGTAGTTACACTATCTTCTTCTCCTAAGGAAAACTCTGAATCTGCCCAAAATCCTGTGGTATTAAACGATCCTCAACAAAATGATATAGCTGCAGCTCAATGAGCTTCCATTACTCAAAATATATATTTTAAGCAATCTGTAAATAGGAATATACTAAATATTTCAAATCTAACTTCATGTAGTGTGTTAAAATATGTTGTTTATTTTATTGAAATATTCTGATTTTTTGTAAATACTCATTTTTATCCTTACTTATACATAGATATTCTAGCTTCAAACGTATGTCTGAATCTAAAAAATATTTTTGTAATTTTAAAGTAACTGACAAATTATATTGAGTTTAATCATAATTTGTGTATCTAAAACATTTCATCTATGTTGTAAATTTTCTCATATCTGTTAGTTAATTGTTATAAATTTATGTAAAAGTTTTGATGTTCATTTTAAAAAGATTTTAACTGTCATTAAAATTTCAATTTATATGGATTTGATTGTGATGCTCTTCTTTTAAACACAACAAAACGTAAAATATGTGAAGTATTACAAAACAGTAAGTTTCATTACAGTAAGTTTGATTCAACGTATGCTGCATGGTGCAAGAAACTTATTATTACAAGTTCCCAAATCACTGTCAAACTACTAATATTAAAGAACAAACAATGTGTGTTTATAACAAGTTAAAAATTTCTAACTTTTCGTTATAGCAACTTTTTTTTCTTTTCTTTTTACTTTTTTAGGTAAATACATTTTTCTATTGTTTACCTCTTCTAATAAAGTTTTATGCTGATTTCAAATCTAAAAAACATTTTGCTTTATGACAAGTAAATGAATACAAAATATTTAATTGTATAATTACAGAACTTACTTTGAAAGAAGCGCGCAGCGCAGCAGAATTTTCAAAAGAAAGAATAATTGAAGCAATAAAGAAAAAAGAAAACAATGGGGAAAAAATATGGCCACCGGAGACAACGACTTCAAGGGATACCAGCTCCAGAAGCCATGGAACAAAACCTTTTCTACTGAGAGAGCCAGACAAATGTCAAAATTAGCTCCCTCAGTACCCCGAAGGTTTTAAAAAAGTCCAGGACGAAATACATAAAATCAAACAAAATCTTGAGTATATAATACAAAAATGAAAATACAAGAACTCACAGTAAACTGGTCAAACAGCAATTTCATGAAACTAACTCAATGTAAAAGAAACATTTGAAATAAAAGAAAAACAACGCCCTCTACTGAAATGCTCAGTAGGGAGAAATAAAGGATAGGATAGGTAAAGATTGCGTAACAGATTAATATAATGCTTAACTGTGGCTGCTCAGTCAAGACTAATTTCGCCCTGTTAAAAGAAATAATAAACTGTTATTCCTCAATCATTTTTTTAATCAAAAATTTAACATTACAATAATTATAAGGAAAATCATTATTTCTCAATTATTCACAACCTCCTGAAAACATTCAACATTATTGCAAATTTTTTTAACTCTAGACAATTGCGAAAAAACTAAATTTTTGATAATTTTATTGCAGAAATTAGTATTAAAGTTACAGTATTTATAAACTGCTATTATCAGATGATCAGCTTATAAATATTATATTTTCGAGCGATAAAAATTCAAAACTTTTCCTTTTTGAAATGTTTTTGCCTTATGCCATATGTCCATCTTCAAATAACATGGTGACAGTCTGCAATTAATGTATTAATCTAGTTTTTAAAAAAAATGCAGAGGATGTCCCCGTTTTTTTTTTTATCCACTTATCTAGCTTTGTCTAACTTTTGCCTAATTCATCAAATTTCAAACATTACAAAAAATATAAGCTACTTTTCCATTTCTAACTTACAATTACATTTGTCATTGAATGATAATTTATAACCACTAATTTACCTTTTTTTAATTGATTTTACAAGGTCTAGGAAGGGGTCTAAATACCCTGTACACTTGAACACAACCACAGCTAAAAAATTGCAGCTCCTACTAAATATTTTAGGTTTTTTTTTTTAATGTGAAAATTTGGTCAGTGTCAGTTCATCCCACAAGAACATTCTTGAAATTTACATTTCCGATTACTCATAAAGACCTCATTGATTCAATTAAATTTATTGAGTAGATGTAATTTTATCTGCTCATTTTTCATTATGTTCAAGATATTGAATAAAAAATAGTTACCTTGATGTAATTTAATAAAAACAAAAGGCTGTTCCATTCCAAAACAGCCTCTGGTTCTGAAAAATTTCCAACTTTTGACTTAAGTTGATTAGTAATTTACATAAAATCAAACTGCACTTTAAATATTCATTATAGTTTATTATAAATTTTAAAATTCAAAAATGTTGTACAAATATAAAAGTCAAATTTACACTACACACAGTTCTAGACATGACATAATACAACGTTACAAGAAACTTATCGAATAGTAAATTTCATCATTTCACTTTTGTTTGAAGAGGATGTAGGGCCAGATTTTTTCTTCTTTGGATCCGAAGCAAAGCAATTCCAAAGCCTCAGAGTTTCATCAGCACCAGCAGAAACAACAGTTTTTCCATCAGGACTCATAGCCAAATTCAAAATTCTAGATTTATGACCTGCAAAAAAATAACTGATATCAATTTTTTTTTCTTCCCCTATGCAATGTAATAACTCACCATTAAACTCTGAATACCAAATGAAATGTTTGGTATTGAGATATAAAAGTACGACAGCTTCAACATTACATAATTTAGAATTTTTCTACAAGTTATTTTTTAAATTTTATAACCGTCGTTGAACAGCCAATCAATATTCAATTCCGTAGCCTTGTAATTTTGAACCCAATTCGGTAAAAATATTCCAACCAAATTAAAAAAAGGAAGGAAAATTTATCACATGGATTAATTAATTATTTTGTAACAAATCACTCACTCACAGTCAAATTTTATTAAAATGTACAATATAGAGTTCTTTATAAAAATGGAAAAAAAAGAAAAATAACAAGATTTCTAGGGCAAACTATCTTTTAAACTTTCGCAATTTCAGATTTTCAAATTTTTTTTTGTATTGTCTAATTGAAATTTTAGCCGAAGCATTATTGAATTTTTCTTATTCTCAAATAAGAATAGAAAAATCAGGAAGATTTCTTTTCCCCTTTGATGAGCAAGAAAAGCATCTTTTGAAACTAGTTTTACAGAAGGAAAAATATGTTTCGAAAATTTCCACAAAAAAGAAAACCAAAATCTTTGACTTATTCTTTATTTCTCATTATTAACAAATGAAAATAGAAAAATTACGAGTTTCTTTATCGTACTATGTTTGAGATAGACATTTAAATATATCTCTCGATGGGGGAAAAAAATCTTTTCTCAAGAAAATAAAAAACACAATTTTTTACTTCATTCTTCTTTATTTCTCTCATTTCATTATTCTCTCATTTCTTCTTTATTTTTCATTATTCTCATTCTCATTTCATTATTCTCATTCTCAAATGAGAAGTAAAGAATCACAAGCATTTCTTTCCGACCACAATTAAGGCATCTTTTGAATATAATTCTAGGATGAAATAAAAATCGTTCGAAAATTTCTATTTTTTAACTTCCCAAAGGAAAATTCTTTCTGCAAAACCTCTAACGTTCAGTGACAATGTCACCGTAATTCTGGTATAGGATTATTAATACTATCTAGAGTTTAACTTGGGTTTCAACATTTTGCTAAAACCTTAATTGAAATGAGAAGGAAACGCGTGTATCACAATCTTATTCTTCTAATGATGTAAGATTTTATTTCCCTCCGCTCCAGTTGAACACGAATGGGCAAGCAGATACAGAATCTGACGTTCTAAAAAGAATTCATGTTCTAAAACGTTCTGCCCCATCCTCACACCCTATTGAAAGGAATAAATTGAAAATCAGGTGCAGTGACCATACTTACTTCCGTTTCCTAGGATGTTATTATGTTCAAAGGGGGAATAGCAGAAATGACATGATTTTTACGAAAATAAGAAAAAGGAGGGGTGCCAAAATAATAAGAGAAATAGGACTGTGTTCCCTGATTGGGAGAAGGACTTTTCGATGGAACTAATCCGCATTTCAGTAACATGGAGAGGAAAACTTCTGAAAGTAAGCCTGACTGCAAGGGTAATCCAACACACATTCCATCTACCACTGAAGCTATTTTACATTAGCACTGTGGCCAGTTAGAGCCACATGCAGAATTCAAATCGACCAGCCATTGCTGGGGTTCGAACCAGTGTTACTTCATTGGGAGGCAAATGCTCTATCCCCTGAAGCCACCTTGCCATTGCAAGTCATATTTTATTTTATAACCGTCGTTGAACAGCCGACCAAATTTTGAATTTACGAATGTTCAAGTCTATAGCCCTGTAATTTTGAACCTAATCCAGAAGACAAGGGAATTCGAAGATCAAGTATAGGGAGTTGTGGTGGCCTTTTTTTATGGAACTAATCCACACTTGCATTACATGGAAAAGGAACCATGAAAACCGCCTACGATTAGTCTGACGGCACGGGGACTCTTAACCTATTATCCATCAACTAATGATGATATTTTAAGTCAGCACTGTGGTCGGCAAGCCGGGGGCAAAATTGGTATAGACCAGTCATGGCTGGGATTCTATTCTGGGTCACCTCATTTGGCGACGAATGCTCTATCCCCTGAGCCACCATACCTCTTTACAAGTTATATTTTCAGTTTTATAACAGTCGTAGAACAGCCTACCCAATTCTGGGATTATGACTAGCAATGTTAAACTCCATATCCTTGTAATTTTGATCCCAACCAAAAAGAAAGGAAGTACCCCCAGAGGTTTTGATGTGTTATAGGAACATGGAGGACTTTATGACCCGTTAAATTTAACGTGCATCAGACATCATATACTTCAGCCAACAGGGATCGAACCCACGATCTCTTTGACATGGGTTATAACAAGATTTTATGTACTACAAAATGCAATTATAAAGAGAAAAAGATAGTTACCAATCAGTTCAGCTACTTTTGCCATTGATGGGTATTTCCATATTATTAATTCATTATTTGCAAATCCATGTCCTGATATTAACTCTTTATATTCTTTAGACCATAAAATAGCACAAACCTAAAAATGAATAAAAGTTGCAGTTAAATTATTTATCATTTGTAATTTATTGCAAAATAATATTTATCTTAAAAAAGAACTTATATACATAAAATAAATGTTAGTACCAATAGACAAATACTAGAACAGAATTTCAACAAAAAGTTACTAAAAAGTAATTACAAATTGATTTTTCATATTTAAATCATGGGCAAAGAAACTTATTAAAGTAAAACATTTAAAACGGAAGAATTTCTAATTATAAAATATTTCTCGTAAACCTCACTATTCCTTTAATATAAAACAACTGAAATTGCAAAACACTGTGTTTCAAATAATTTTCAGACTTAACGTGATCATGATAAAATAACCAATTTCTGACAAATTCTTTTCTTAATTCAGGGGTGATTGTGAGCCCAAGTCAAAATTCCGGAAAATATCTCGAGTTAAAAAAAAAAACAAAGTTTAAATCGAAAAAAATCTAAACAAGGTTTTTTCTTTTTTCTCAATATTTCTTAGTTTACTTAGAACATATTTAAAATTTTGCACATACCTATACCATTTACACATACCAATGATGCCCTGGAGACAGAGCCGGATTATACCTTTCGTAGGCCCTAGGCACAGAGCTGGATTATACCTTTCGTAGGCCCTAGGCATAGCCGTTTTTGGGCCCTCCCCTCCTTCCCCCACTCCTCCCCTCTTTTCGAAATATATGCTGAAATTTTCTTGCATATTTTTTTTTTTACACTTTTATTAATATGGATTTTAATTTACGAATTTGTTTACCGAACTTTATCTGCAATACCGACAAGTGTAATGCATAAAGTAAGAGAAAAAAGAAAGGTACTCCTAACTTTAAAGAGAAAAAAAAAATGGTAGAAATATAACATTCAAAAGAATAAAAAATTTACAAGTTTAGACAAGAAAAACAAGTTTAAAAAATACAAAATTCTCATATTTATTTTTTAAAAATAATTACAATTCCTAAATTAACTTATATAAACAAAACCAATGGTTAAATAACGCAATATATTTCATACCTAATTAAACGGGGGGGGGGACAATAAAATAAAAGGAAAACTTATTAATCTAAATCAAAACACTTGAAAATTATCGAACCGAAACGATAGTTAAAAAAGGCACTAGCATAAATATTAAAACCCGGAACAAGGCAAGATCAACGGAATTTTTTTTTAAAAAAAAAACCTAATGATAAAATTTATGAATAAAAAGAATTTATTGAGTGCGAAATTTATCGCGAAGAGAAAAAAAAATCAAACGCAGTGGAATCAGAAAAACAAAACTGTTTTTCTGATTCCACTACGTTTGATTTTTTTTTAAAATTTTTTTCTCCCAAGTTTTTCGTAGGCCCCTGAATTTCGTAGGCCCTAGACACGTGCCTATAGGTTAATCCGGCCCTGCCTGGAGAAGTAATTGAAATTTACAAATATGTCTTTCTCTCTTGAGTTTATGATTACAATAATTATTTACTGATAAAAAATTAAGTATTAATTTTGAATATAAGCTTATACAATATCTGGCTCTCCCTTACAAACAAATAAAATAATCTGGGTTTTTAAATTCCACCTTCGAAAATTTGATTTCCGGAAACTTTTGTGATCAATGATTTATTGAAACGTCTGAACCTTCGATCTCCGGAAACTTCCGGATCACGGTTAGCGAAAAATCCGGATTTTTCCAGAACACAATCAGCCCTATTAATTATATTAGTCACCACAAAAACAATTTACACACAATTTTAAATACAGCCAGTATTGTGTGGCTCAATCTATTTTTTTAAAATTAATAATTAATTACACATCAAAAAAAGTTAATTTAAAATTCTAACTAATTTAACAAAAATTTAAAAAGTTTAATGAGTGTTTTCTTTATATTTAAAAAAAGGTAATTTATAAAAGCATATTCAATAAAACATTAAGATTAATATTATTGAGCATACCGAATTCATAAAGATACATAAAGAATTACGAAAACTTTGATAAATTCATATAACAAATGTAAATTAGTAAATGGCTCCTAATTTATTTTTATCAAAATTTGTTACTTGGTTCAATATTTCTTTAATGAAATGATTAAAAAAAATTTAAATAATTTTGAAATGTAAATACAATGAGTATTAAATGCCAGAAAAAAATATTGCATGATTCCCTGTTACTCATATTTAACAAATCTGAGATACTTAATTTTTTTTTGTTTCAATTGTTTTTAAATCAAATCATTAAAGATTAAAGTTTTTTGGAATGACAAATCTGAACATAAGATTTCTTGTTGCATTTAAAATATTGAAAGCCTGTCACTTCATACTTTTTTTAAAATCTTGCCTCTAAATATTAAGTTTTTTCATAAAACAAATTAAGAGCTCTGAAAATTTTAAAAGTAATACAATAAAAGAAATAAGTAAACAAAAGTAATAAAGTACAGAAGCTTTCAAAAAAATGCTATTAGTAGACAGCTCCTCAGTTAAAAATCTTACGTTTAAAAATATTAATTAGTTCTTATCTTTAAATGAATAAAAAGATGGAAATTTTGAGGTGATAAAGCTTTGTTATTCTTGACTGTTCTGGGGACCACATGAAAACACTTAATTAGTGAATGGTTCCAAAGTCAAATTCAAAGATTATCGCACTGATCTATAAATATAGTACTGAGAGAGGAAATTAGCTTACCAGAGAAGATGGCGCTGCATCAACGATCAAATTAACAAGAGAAATAAAATTTTAATTTGCTATTAAGGAAAAAAATATGGCAATGTTTCGAGAGATTTATTTAGATTTCAGAGGGCGGAAAAGGAAGCCTGAAATTGAGGATCCCTTGCGAAATGAAACAGAGTTGCACATAAGAATGCATGAATCATTTCCACTGAATCCAGCTCACAGGGTTCCCAATCTATGATGAGATTGAAATTCAAGGACTT